TGCAAGCGGTACCTGTGTCCCCCAACTCATTTCGCGAACAGGCGGGTTGCGTTGAGTTGTGGAGGGTCTATTTCACTTGTGTAATTAGTATATACTACTCCAACCCCCAAAAACATATTGGGGGCTCTCCAAAAGGCGGACCCGCTTTTGGTTGGCAGCCCTACCTCCCAACAACCCACCGAATGCCCTCATCTCTCAGCTCAAAGCAACAGCTGGCGCACTTGAGCCGGACGTTGCCAGGGCACCACAGGAACAAGGCACAAAAGCCGGGCCGGGAATTGTCGCGTCCTAAAACACACACACACACACACTGCTGTCAAAGGACAGAACGAAGAATGTTTCGTCCTTGGGGGAAGAACTCAAACTTCATGTTCGAGATGCAGCTGGCGCTGAATTCCTCAGACCTGAAGCAATCAATCACGACATATCTGCACCCATGGTGCCCGTGAGAGCTGCTTCCGACTGCGAGATTCGAGGTGCACAGATATGGGTGAGTTCTCAAAATTGGGGCCCTTCAGGTGCTTGGGTTCGTTCTAGCTTCCCTTTGATACAACTAGAAGCATAATACTCGAATCACATCCGAATCTGTGGCTGCCGGCCACAGGCAGTCACCACGCTGAAGGGGCCTGTGGGATCTCTGAAGCTCAAGCAGGTGAAGCCGGCTGTGATGTGTGTTTCCAGTTTTCGGCCTTTCCAGATTGTAAAGAAGGTATATAGAAAGCAAACTGATAGGCCACCGCAAAAGGAATCCAATCAATTCCCAGTGCGATTTGATATGATTCACAACTAAAACCTGCCCTACCCAAGAACCGCTTGCATATCTAGTGACAACCCTCCTGCCACGCGTGTTTTTCATGCAGATCCGGCCCCGGGCCAAAATGGCCTGGGTTGCAAACACCAAATGCACACAAGATTCAAGGGTTTTTCGGCCGGAAGGCCTGTGTGCTGTGTAGGGCTTTGCGGAACACACGTGCACAGGCCTGAAACTTTGTCTGCAGTTGGTCAATTTCCACTCCACTCGCCTCCCAAGGACGAGCAAAGCAGAAATAGCAAAGGGATGGATGGGAACAGGCCTCACGTAGGCAGGATCGAGACCTGTCTGTTAACTCAGCCGCAAGATATTCAGGTCTGCCAATTCTGGCAAGTCACGACCCACCATTCTTGCAGGTGCTTTGGCACGGCCTCACATTCCAGGCATCTCTGCCACAACTCGAATTGGCAAACCTTCGGCGGTCATCCGAGGCAGCCACGATTGAGGATTGCTGTGAGTCTGTCATTCAACTCGTGGATCTGCCGTGGGCAGCGCTAATTTTGCCTGTTATGATTGTGTATATACGAACTGCATATGTGTGAATATGACGGCTCCGTATGTGTATACATATATACAATGTATGCATACAAGTAGACATATTGGCTTTGTCACTATAGAGCTTCCAAAACTGGGTCGCACACATGATTCTCTCAACATCCGCGAATGCAAGTTGGAGCAGCCGGGTTTTAACTAACCGCCCTTCCGGGGAATATGTGCCCTTCTACCCATACACTCGCTGGAAAACTATGGCTGATGCTATTTCCTATTGCAGAAGCACCGGACAGTCTTGGAAATATGTCCAGAGAGCATCCCGAAGCGCCACTGAGAGATTTTCCAAAACCATCACTCAGCCGCTTTGGAAGCAAGGCACGGGCTGTCACACAAACACCAACCAGAAAAGGTGAACAACCGCCTGCCTCATGCGTGATCCTCTCAAAGAGTCAGGGCGCGTGCTAGCTGCAACCAACTCACAGATTACCAGAACGCATGCCTCAACTGTTCGGACTGCAACTGCACACGTCACGGTCCTCCTGACCTCTTGGTCATGAGAAGCAGCCTGGTCTTGCAGCTTCTTCTGAGCAGATCTTACCTCAGGCTTCGAGCGCTGTGAGTTGGGGTAAATGCGGCTAAATCCCTGCCTGCACGTCTTCTATCATATCAAGCCTTTGTACTCGAAAGGCACAAGCTCGCCACCGAACAGCAGGACGCAGACCAACTTCAATCTTGGACGCCGGCACTACATCACTTGGAGAGCAAATGGCGCCCTCGAATCTTGAGCCAGGGACTGCATGGTTCGCGAGTGCGAGCCGGAATTTACCAAGAGGGCTCATGCTGAGACGGCGACATCAAGCACCCCGAAACACAAAGTCGCTCTTACATTGCCGGGAATCAAAAAGCGCTTCTGGGTGGACCTGTGCTCTGTAGGGTCTTGGGTTGGCTTAAAAGCGCTTCTCAGAACTCGGCTCACTATGGCGACGTCCCAATCCAATTCGAGAAATCTGTCTGTGTAACAGGAGCCACGCTTCACGACTTTTCCTTTGCCGGAGAATGCAACGACAAGCCAGTGAGCACGTCGCCAGCGCTCCGCCTGCGGAAGATTGCTTTGATCAACATCGACAGAATTGGCTGTCAAACTAAAAGGAGATGTTCAAGTCTCAGACCAGAATTGAAAGCGCGGACTTGCCCTGGCAACTGTGGGCCTCCGGCCCTATTTTCAATTGGAGCTCGCCCTGATGCGTTTTGGGGCCGTTGGCCGGCCTGCTTGCAGCAGCAACATCACACCGCTCGAAGCGCCCCCCCGGCAAGTTCCTCCCAGCAGGTTGCCCATTGAGAGTCACGCAAGTGAGTTCAGCTGACGACCCAAGCGTCGCAAGCGCATTCTTGAACGCCAGCATCGGAGGATGTCAGCCGCTAGCGCGCCGCTCTCTCCAAGGTGGGCTGACCCCAACCCCGGATTACAATGTCGTTGTCTCTCATGCCTGGCTGTGACATTCGTGAGCACCTGTCCCAGCAAACACTTTTGCCTTGACCCATGCAGTATTGCTTCAGGCAATACAGCCGTTTGTCATTTAATTTGAGAAATACAGGTACCTATGCTCAGGCCTTGACCACTTTTGCAGCACTCCAAGCGCAAGAACAGCCACGTGGATCAACAACGCCGTGACACAGGTCCTCAATTAGCGTCGCCAAGGGCGGGCCATCTCTGCACTTATCTTATCAACCGATGTTGATCTGCGTGAATTGCAATTCTTCCTCCTCTTCATCTTCGAACTCATGTTTGACCGACGACACCTGAGCCTGGCTAGACTCACGCCTCACGCGCAGCACCTCGAAGCTGCGGCGATCGACTCGGGGATGCTTGCGGAGAATTGTTTTTCGCGGCCCTCGCGCCAAATGATTTCGCGTACAATGTCAGCTTCATCACGCAGCGTGTGGATGCCGGACAACAGGTCCAACCGAAGTCCTAGCGTCTCGGCGACCAGTAGCAGCGCGCATACTAACTACACGTCTTTTTCGCGCCTTTTCACAGCCATGCGATGCGATCCCCGCAGCAATGAGAGACAAGGTTTCCGCTGCTCATGTCGGGATCCTTTCCAGAAACATCTCCCTTCATCACAACGCTTCGACAAAACAAAGGGACGCTCAGAGCAGCGGCGAAGTCCCATTTAAAAAAAATCGAGGGACCAATCCTTGTTGTTCTTCACAGCCTCCCGAGCTTTGGCACCACCCCACTGCAGGTGCTGGCGCTGCTCCATGACTTAGACAGCCTTGTTGATGGGATTGCTGGACAAAGTTCTCCTCATGAAATACTTTGAGCCAACATGGACCCACTGCTGTTAACTACTCGGTTCTCATCGAGAATCACCTGCTCCCCAATTCGTGCAGGAAACCATCATCCCGTTCTTGCTGAGATCCAGGTGCACAACTTGCACTGGAAGGGCCTCAACCCACTGAAGCACCTCAAGGCAGGACAGCGACGCAATTTGTTTTGTGGAACGAGCTTTTAATTTGACGTTTCTTAGCAAAGCATGCGCTGCCAATTCCTCCTGCAGGGCTTCGATGAAAGCTTCTGGCTACACCGTTCAGCGGCACATAGCAGTCCAAGCGTATCATCAGCAAGCCGTAGTCTTCCGCCTTGCGCGCACCGTCTTGGGTGGCTCGAGGAGCGGCTTGAGGAGCAGGGCGCAACAGCGCGTTGCTACTGCACCTTGTTTTGTCCTGCATCTAACGTTCTCTCCTGTCACCAAACCATTCCTCAAGGCTTCTCGGCCTTCGACCCTTCCGAAGACCTGCCAGCCATGGCCCAAGGCAGCAAATTGTCTTGGAGAAGCAAATCTCGGTAGCCAGGCACGTCGCACTTCTTAGATTTCTTGCCTGCGGTCGCAGAGGCGACCCAAAAGCTCCCAACACGCGTCCAGCGCAGGCACATGCAAGTCGCGCCTTTCAAATGAGTTGGTCACGCAAGAGGTTCTGTAAACACCCACGCGCCAAATGTTGTTCATAGGATCGACCACAACATAGCTATCCTTGCATCTCGCCGAATCTCATGTCATCTGACAGGCCTTGACCTTTTGCTTCCCCGTGACCGAATCAAGCAAAACAGGCCAACAGCTTCACCTCCCGAGCCTGTGACTTTTGCTTGAAGAAGTTCAGCTAATAGCTGGCCCCTCACACCAAATGTCGACCAAAACTCCAAGCAACAGCCGCATCCAAGATGTTCAAATGTAATCTTTCTTCACATGCATTCGACTAGATGATAAGTTTGCATTTTGTTCAGAGCCTCTGGCATAGGACGCCAACTTCACTATATACTTCGATGGAGCTCCCGGTGGGCCCAAGGACAGCAACTCAAGAGCTTGCGAGCTAGGCGCAGTTTTCCGGCGAATGACAGTCAGATGCCCCCAACATGCGCAAAGCCCCGCCTATTGCGAATCTCGCTGCTTGAAGCCCAGCATTCGCAGTAGAACATGCTCCACAAACCTGCCAGAACAGAAAAGACCCAAATCTCAGGTGTCGGCATTACCTCCAGCACCTACAATCCTTCCCAACTCTATCTCATTCAACCTGACCTGGGCCATTAGCTGTAAACTGCCACTAAAGAGCCTGTCCGAAGAGAACCAGAACTCAGCCACAACTCACCCAGCTCACCAACCCTGAGCGGAGGAGCCACCCTAGACTAGGTCCAAACCTTGCAACAGCAAGGCCGAAGCCAGGCCGAAAACCTAGCTCGGGCCGTGACGGACCAAAACCAGCCCCGACTGCGAGCTCTCTGCACCCCGACCCAGAACACAGTGGACCGTCATTACCACCGACATTTAATTTGAAGGCTCGATCGTAGTCTCCAAGTAAGCAGTCTGGTCTCTTGCACTGTTGCTCCTGACCTGCACTCTCTGAATCTTCACATCCTCACAAGCCGCTCACCGCTCACCAGCCCCACTCCCGTCCCATTTTGCTCGTGCACCGTCATGCTGCCGCGCTCGGAAACTGGCAGGTATTAGGTGAGTCACAATCAAAACCTGGCATTAAAATTCCAATGAATCAAGAGGTGGGAATCCGCACCCATTTATGGGTTGGGACTGTCTCCTACTACCAACTACCCGAGTTTTGATTGTGGCTCGTTGAGAACTCCGGGAAAATACAAAGCTGGGCTCTCAGAGGGCTCCCTGCGCATCGGAAACCAGGTGCAGCCTGAGGTCAAACACTGGGACCGTTCCAAGTCCGTGGACCATCCTTTGCTCATAGGTTTGCTTCGAAGGATGGAGCCACGGTAACTTGGGATGTGAAGAGCAGCGCCGGAAACCCATCAACATTTGGATACGACCGGTACCCTGCATCATTGGGATTCATAATCAGAGCGCCGACCCTGACCTCTAAACCAAGGAGTAGAACCCTTCAGTTGGACAGAGTGGAGGTTTGGGCGCGGCTTTCCTTCAGCATAGGGCCTTGACGAGCCCACAGCCATGCATCAGCAGCAGGCCGATTTCTCTTTGCGTGCCTGCGCCTGCGAGGACCGTAACATCCCCCAACTTCCTCAAAGATTGACCCAACACTTTGGCTCCTCTTGGTCCCCATTGAAACCATGACAAAAAGCGACTGGTTCAAAAACGACTGGTCGAAAAGAGTAATGTTGGACCTCCTTTATTATTGGTCCTCGCTATTGTACATTTTTTCCTAATTCAGAATCCTGTGACTGTTTTAACGGTTCGCTATTGTGGCAAGTTTTTTTGCCCCCTCCCCCCCAGAAAAATCTAAAAAACGCATAGCTTTTTTCTTCGCTTTCTGGATTTGCTCGGGCCCAGGCTAAACTTGCTAAGCCTTGGTAGCTCCTGTTGAGCTGGAGGCTGGTTCTGAGCTAGCCTTGCTCAGAAGCTTGGCCACATCTTGGTCTTTTAGTTTTAAAGGGGGGGGGCTCATCCCAAGCTTTCCCCAGCTCAAAGGTTAAAGGCCTGAGATTTAGGAAATCCATTTTGCAAGTTGTTCCCAAACCATCAAATTTAAGATAACTTCTTTACAAAAAAGTGAGGGCAATCAATCGCACAAAGGGGTGTGCCCACAGGATGCCCTGATCCTCTTTAGTGTGACTGTTTTGGGGTCCTCTTTAATGTTCACCTGGGTTTGGGGGTTGCTGAAAACTGAAAACTCAAACCCTTAGCCTTGGCAATACTAAAGTAGAATTGGCAATACTAAAGTCAGTACTGGGAATCTGAGAGGGGGCCTTGGCAATACTAAAGTAGAATTGGCAATACTAAAGTCAGCACTGGGAATCTGAGAGGGGGCCTTGGCAATACTAAAGTAGAATTGGCAATACTAAAGTAAGTACTGTCCCTCCCAGATCCTGCAGGATCTCCCTAAAGAGAGTCCCGCCGACTGGTTGCACTGTTCCGGGGAGGGGGGGGGTCACACTAAACAGAGTCCAACATTAGGGTTTAGCGCCTCCTCCATGCGTTGGGAGGAGATGTAAGTGCGGGATATGAACAGAGCGGCACCTTTGAGATTGCCCCAAGGCTTCGGCCCAGCTTCGCTTCGGAGAGCCCAGCCTGCTTCTTCTGAGCTTCGCGAAGCTGAGCAGCGGCAGCATCGATCGGATCGTGTATTTCCTTGGCTCCGGCAAACCCCGGAAATGAAATTCAGCGGAAATGAAATTCAGCGGATCTGGAAGAGACATCTTCTTCAACATGCGTTGCTTGCCCCAGTTACCCATGTCCCGTCCAGTCTCTGCCCCATTTCTTGCCCTGAAGTTGAGCCATTGCCTATCCAAGCTGCCGGTGGCAGATGCTTCTCTGCACGCTCCATCTCTCGGTGCTCTTCCAATCGGTTGGTGCCTGCAGCAAAAGTCAGGACAGCCCATCCCGTCTTTTTCCTGCATGATCTGCCAGGGTCATTCTTTGGGGAATGGCAACGATTCCTAAACTATGGGTCCTTTCTCTACGTCGCAACCAAACAGATATTCTCTGCCTGGCACGTGTCTCGAAATGTGGGAGACCCCTGATAAATGGGTGGCAAAAAAGCCAGCTCTCGAATCTCTCGTCTGTCTTTGCCTCCAAAGCCCAGCCAGCTGCACAGCCTGGGATCGTGAAAGCACTAGTGAGACTCAATGGCCAGTTTTTGGTGCCCTTTGGTTGACTCCTGACTCCTTTCGCCTGTCAAATGCGTTTCTTGCAGAGATGTCCGCACAAAGTTGCTGGAGTTCCTTTGTGCCAGGAAGCATCATCAGGAAAATCCAGACCAGCAGCGCGACGCTGGTAAGCACCTTAGGAAACAAAGCGCGGCTCTGCGCGTTCGAATGCACAGCACGGCCCCTGGCGATTTCCCCGATGATGTCTGGGGAGTGTCGAAAGGACACGAGTCGCGAAGTGCTCCTGTGACAGTGTGCATCAAAAAGCGCTCCAACAGGGCCTTTGGCCGGAACTGTCCTGCTGAGAAGAAGCGCGGCGGACCAGTGCTTCAGAGACTCCTCTTGACCTTGCAATGCCTCGCAGCAGTCGGCTTACAAACATCATGCCTTCTGCCTACGGCTTCATACCCAGTGGACTACAACTATCCAGGGCGAGCCAAAAATACCCAGCCTTTTTTCACTCTGCTGTCTTGTAATACGTATAAGCTTGGACTGCAAGTGCATGCAAAGTGCTGGCAGCTGCCTCATATCTTGCTTCAAGCACTACATGTGGAAAAGACAACATCAGCAGACGTTTGTCCTGTTTCCGGTCCAGCAACACCACAAGAGGGCATCCAGATCCGCACAGGTGCACACAAGTCCGTGCACCCGAAATTGCATGCCGTACTCTGAGAAATTGGCAGCTGGGTCCCAGCCAAAAAGCAAAGGCAAGTTCTGATCCTACCCTTGCACCAGCCATCAATCAATCTTGAAATGGAGTGTGTTCCAAATTAGGAACCCGCTATGTGGCTGTGTTAAAAGGGAAACCAAACAGAAAAAGAAAACAAGAAGCTTTATTCGAGGAAACGGCAGGCTAGATGCGTCACCAATGCAACGGCTCAAAACGCCGGTGGGCAATGCTTGAAACTGAGCGAGTGATGTCATTCCCATTCCCCAGCCCACCTGCCCATCGTGCTTCGCCACAGCGCGCTTCGGCAAGGAATCCTTCCGTTTCAAAAGAAGCGCAAAGGAAGCGGCCGATGTGGAAATGCCTCAAAAACTTGCAACTTGCCTGCAACCCTCTATTTGGCTTCCCTGTCAAGCCGTCAGGTGCAAAATGTTTCTCACGACGATGCTCCTCGGCTGAAGGCAACGAAGGCAAGGAAGGCAAAGACGAAACGTTCACCTAACTGAAAAGCTGAAAAGCTGAAAAGCTGAAAAGCTGAAGCATGAAGCTGGCCGTGTCAACAAAACTCTCGCGCCGCCTCGGACCTGGTAAGCCGCTGCTGCACCTGAAGCGCTCCAACACTCGTAGCTGGATCCCCCTTTCTCTTTCTTGCGTTTTCCACGTCAGGGGGGGGTCCTAGGGTCCTAGGCTTAGCCCTAGGCCTGCAGCAAGAGAAGCAGATCCGGCAGTATCTCCTCGGCCGTCTCCTGCAAATCATCCCTTGCTGGAAGGAAATACAAGGAAAACTGTGGATCCCCCACATTCTCGCTTCAAATTTTGCAGCCCCATTCTCGGCCTCAGCCCAGTCTTGCTCTGTGGAATAGGCTAGAGCCACCGTCAGTAGTAGACAAATCTTCATGCCTCAGTTGCCAGCGTCTTGGCCAAAGGCTCGAATCACTGCATACAAAGCCGTGTGGGTATGTCGTAAAATAGGGGACCTTCAAGAAAGGTTTCCTTTATGTTCCCTTCGTTTTTTTGGAGACTCCCTGTGCCAAGAGGCAGTTCAATGCGCACCTCTGGCCTTCACGTTGGGTTCAGTTTTCCTGAGAGATACAAGCTGATGTTCCGAGCAATGCGGTGTCTCGACTCGTTGCCACTCCCTCCCTGCATACAAGCAAACACGCACAACACCAATGAGCAAGGCAACCGCACCAGCGTTCAAAAGGCAGACGCAGGCAGGCCTTGCCCGGACAAATTGATATCAAGTTTCGGACATGGACATTTGGCAGCTCCAATGGGAAGTCTGGAGCTGGAACGGCTGCGAGGAACACGAACTGCGAATACAAACTAGATACTATCTGACACTATCCCATGTGCTCTCTTTCAAGACCTGCCAGCCTGGAGCGAAGTACCAGGGAAAGTTGAAGCGCAAGAACTGAGAAAGAACGAGACAAAGTGAACGAGCCTCTTGCCGATCGGAATCCAAGTTGGCCATCCTCGCAAGCACGGCTAACTTGCATCCCGGGCTGAAAGCATCTGCAATCTGTATGTCAGCAAATGCAATTCGGAAAAAGGGCTCGGCCTGCGCGTGTCATGTGCTCTGACTTGGCTGACCTCATACGCGTCCGCTCAATCGCAAGCCTGTTTGGCAAATGCGCATTGTTGCCAACCGTCATGCGGAATGTGGATGTGCGCTGTGCAGCCGCGTAGCTATACGTGTCTTGACACTCAACATCTGAGGATACTGCTGCGAACTCGATTCTTGCTACAAATTAATCGCATGCTCCGGCCAGAACACCTCAGTCAATGTATTAATCATGGGGTCGACCAGTCCGAATTGAGCACTGATCAATTGATCATAGTTTTAAGCTCGCGTCTGCAAGTGTAGCTGGTCATCCAGAGTCCTCAAGGAATCCAAACAGATCAAAAGATCAAGAGTTCCCTTCGCTTGCAGGCCGTTAAAATGGGAATGGCGCCCGGCTACTGTTAACTTTGCGCTACAATTGGGCGAAAGGACTGCACCACTGACTTGCAACTTCCTCATGATAACGCTTCTACTAGACTTGGTCGGAATCCCGTGACTGTCTTGAAGGGTCGCTTTAATAACAACTAGTTTTGCCAGCAAAAGAACCGGGCAGCTAAATTCGGCCCAAAAAAAACGGAACACACAAATCACACATCCGGCAAACTGGGCAAACATTTGGAACTTTTTTTGAAGTAGTCCCCAAACCATCAAGTTCAATATAACTGACTTGAAAAGAAGTAAGGCCAAACAGTGGCGCAAAGGGGGTTACCCACAAGAGGCCCTGAGTTTGTTTAATGTGCCTGTTTTGAGGTTCGCTTTAATAGCAACTTTTTGAACGATTGGGGAAAATTCCAGATTAAAACCTTATATACAATGAGAAACGGAATATGTTTCAAAAATGTCTGACCGACGCTTAGAATCGAACAAAAATGAATTCATGCACTTAGAACGGTTCGGCCGGCCAACAACACATATAGAAACGGTTTCCCCCTTTACTGAGATTCCGGTGCTTATTTTCGGTCGACCAACACTGAGAAACGTTTGTAAGTGTTACCCAAAACAGTTTACCCCTTGAAGCTGTATCCTCCAAATCTCGCTCGGGAGCTGTTCCTTCTGAATGCCCTGGTCGAAAATGATCGAAACCACGCTGGAGGAAAATGTCCAAGTGTTTGTCGGCCAAAACATTTCTAAGTGCTTGTCAGGTGGCGTTTTGCACACTGTCAGACTCTAAGAAACACCCCCCCCCCCCAACTGCTGAATGTATGCAAGGAGCAACAAAATCCTAATCAAAAAATCAACTTGAGTCGTTTTCTGGCGATTCTTTCTTAGGAGCGCTTCCCTTTTCACTTTCCTACTCAAGACGGATCAGTTTGAAGCTTTTTCCTCAAAATCTAGCTCGAGAGCTTTCTCTTTTGAATGATGTTCGCAAATGACCAATTCAAAGTGTTTTTTTGCCTATTCTGCCTTAGGAGCGTGTCCCTTTCAGATTCCTATTCAAAACATGATCAGTTTGAAGCTGTTTCCTCAAATTCTCGCTCGGAAAATGTTCCTTCTGATTCTCTATTCGAAATGACTAGTTTCAAGTGCTTGCTTCAAATTCTAGCTCTTCTTTGGCCGCTTCTACGTGTTGGATCCACTGGTTTTATGCATCGAGACTAGAATGGAGGAAAACATGTCTAAGTGCTTGTCGGCCGAAACGTATCTAATACTAAATTAAGTACTGGGAATCTGAGACTCAGTCTTGGCAATACAAAAATCAGTATTGGCAAGTCGAAGTTGAACCCAGCCCCCTCAGGTTTTGCATGAAAGAGACAGACCGGTTCCACTGTTTTTTGGGGAATAGGGCAGGAGCGAAGAGACTATTGCAAGCCAATATCCGATTCACGCCATGCGCCACTGGCTGAAGTGGTGTGTGCGCATCTTCAACCGTCTGGAGTCCTGGACTGGGTCACTGCCGGCCTCCACAAACAGGTCCACTCCTGAACATGGCATCCCTTTCTAGCGCCAAGATGCGAGCAATCACGACTCCGACTCACAACCCGCACCTGGCAGCATTGTCTGAAACTGCCGCATGGCACCTCCAGCTAAAGCTTCGGTCTCTGTTGCCCGTGTCTTTCCCCCCCGGCCCCCCAACCCACGACCAAGCACTAAGAAGCTGTGCAAAGCTCGTTTCTGCGTGTGCAAAGAATATTGAGAGGTGACGCCGTGCATCTTGGATGTGGCGACTCTATTGGCGTATTCAAGCTGGCTGCCTTGCTGGAACGAGACCGTGGTGTTCTGCTCGCAGAACCAGAAAGCCCTCTGTTAAAAGACAAACACAAATATGTGCCCTTTGTGAGAACACTCTCCAGTTCTGGATCCACCACTTCAGAGGGACATGGTTCGTCGATCCTCATGCCCGTGGTGTCAGGACAAATGGCGAGGGCTTATGCACTGGCCTTTGAGGAAAGCATCAAGAATGAAACGGGGGGCGCCGAATTCGGCGCTTGTGCATGCTTTATCATTGCACTTCTTTGGCAGTTGGCTTTGACAACTGGTGCCACAGCACCAAAATTCCAGGGCAAAAGCTGTTGAAACGCGCTTGACGCAAGCGAAGCTCTTGCTGCGCTTGATGCCACTCTTTCCACGCCGCAAAGGCGGGAGCCACTCTAACGGGGGCCAGGCTGGCTGCAAGCAGATTGCCGGCCCCACTTTGGCAGGATCGAATCACTTTCATTATCTTGCCCACCTGGACATCGTCTCCAAAGAGATCACTGGCATCGTCATTGGAATGAGTTTCAAGGAGTGCCCGAAGAAATAGCCGAGCGTACATGGCACAAAGCTCCAAATGCTGGCTCCTGCCCATGATCTTCCGAAAGCTTGAGGCATTGAGTTGGAAGAGGTACGAGTTCTGGTCGACACATGTCAACTGGCCTCGGTACTCCCAGTGCAACCAAAGAGAAGCTTCACTGACACGTGAATCCTTGTCCACCTCCTGTTTCCATGCATTCCGGTGAGCAAACTTGTAGAGCAATCTCCCCGCTCTGACCAGGGAGAGGCAATCACCCATTGTTCCCGCTGAGAAGAGCTCCTCGCCGTAGACCGTGCTAATTTCCTTCAGGGCCTTTTCGCAGAGAGTGGACATTTCAGGGCAGCCCAGCACCAGCAAGTGCTTGAACAGAGCATGGCTCTGTAGAATGGGTAGACCTACTTCCACCTGTAGCTTGCAAAGTGTGGTGTGCGGCAGGCTATCCAAAACCTTGATGTCAGCAAAGACAATCTTGCTGCTGGCCTTGCCAAGGCCCCGTTGACGGATGCAGGTCAGGATCTCTGCTGCCAGATCTATCGAGAGTCTCTTTTCACTGATGTACCGGCGCACCAAAATGTTCTGGCGGGTTTCTTGTGCCGTCATGCTTCTCAGCTTGTTCAAAGACTGGTTGATCGAGCCAAGGAAGAAGCTGTACAATGTCAATCCCGCCAGAATCACAAGTACACTGAAAATCCGCTCGTTTGTTGTGGTGGCAGACACCTCGATGCTTGCCGGAGTAAACTGAGATAATGACCAATGCAAAGCAGTGACGTAAAAGTAAGCAACACTAGCATCGAGCCCCAGCGTCTGTCGATAGCCTACATGCTCTTGTATCCATGAACCATCTTTTTCCATGTTCCCGAGAGCATACCATGCGCAGCCAGTGAAGTGGCAAAGCAAGAGGATAATGCCAAAATGCTTTAGGACACTCATTGCCGTCTCCATTTGAACGGAAGCCCATTCTGTGGCATAGTCCAGGCTGGAGAATAGCTCCCTGATCAAATTGAAACGGCCTGTCATCTTCAGCAATCTCAGTAGACGGAGATTGCGAAAGAGGCGCAACAGCGTAAAGTGCTCGAATGTGGCAAGATCCGTCATAAACATTGACATAGCATCAAGCGAGAGAAGAGCAAGATCAGGCACAAACCATCCTGTAATGTAATTGTAGGCGATGTGCGGCAGGCGCATCTCAACAAAGCCTGGTCAGGGCAAAAGCAACAGGCCCTTGCAAAAGCGAGAGCGAATTCTAGAACTCATATACGATGTATCAATCAAAAACTAAACCAACTTTGCACCCAAGGCCTGTCCGAACATTCAAGAACCCCCGAACAAACGACACAAGCATGTCGCAAAGCCAAATGATGCCGCTGGTCTTGGCCATGGCGTTCGGTGCCCCGACAGGATCAATGTCAAAGGAAGACAGCAACGGGATCATCACGCTGTCGTGCATCGTCGCCAGCAAGCAAGCGATGTCCCAGAAAAGACATATCACGCTGTTCGGCCTCAGGGAACGAACGCAGAAACTAGCAAACACAACAAATGGTTCAGGACAATAGTAACTGGAAACGGGTGCTTGGATGCCTGTTACCTGGTTGAGCAACAGCTTCGAAGTTTTTGCAAATTCTCAAGTTGCTTCTGTTCTCTAGGAGCAGCTTGTTGCCACGAATTATTGTGTTTACATCAGCTTGGTCATAGTCTGAGCCTGAACCTGCCTAAGCCAGCCTTCCTCGCTTGTTGGCGCAAAGGTTTGGCTTGCCGCCTGCCTCCTTCGCTCATGCCTAACCCTTCAATTCAGTCGTTACCCGAGCCCGGCCTCAAGGCCATGCGTTCAAATGGGCCGCAGTCGTGGCTTTCAATCAAGGAGCGAGACCTCGAATTCGGTCGCGACCTCCTTGAGCTGTCTCGGCTCACTAGCCTCTTGCAACCTCGGCGCTTCCCCAACTTGCAACCGGAACCCGCAAGCCCCATTTGTCCAAACAAAAAGGAAATGCATGGAGTCTCTCACTCCAAATCCAAGGCGCTGATGCTGTCTTGATCTTGTGCCCAAAGCTCATGCAGCCTCACCTCGTGCCTTGCAATTGGGCTTGAAAAGGAGCTGGTCTCAGAAACCCAATCTGAGGGGGAGTGCCTGCCTGGTGAGTCCGGCAAAGCCAAGGTTTGCGTTGGATGCAACTGGTCGGCAAGGTGGTCGGCACGGAAGTTCACACGCACTGGCAACCCACTGAGGGCTTGTAGCACATTATCCTCGGCATTGGCTGAAATGTGCTCGCGGGGCTCGTCATCGTCTTTCCAAAGCTCTGACTGCCATGGCATCTCCTTGTCACCTTGCTCATCTGTTTTGACCGGCAGTTTCACTCCGATGCCTTTCGACAAATTCGGCTGCGCCAGCAGCAAGTGAAACTCGGCGATATCTTCCACCGCCTTCCGGATTTGTTCTTGTAAAGAAAATTCTAACTCTCTGCACACCGCCTCGTATGCTTGCCGCGACCGCAAAGCAGAAAACCCTCCAAATGAGGACATGGGAACCGCTGAGACGTATGAGCCGTCCCGCAATGCTAGAGCCGAGAGGCCCACACCCAACCCGTGCTGAAACCCGATTTTGGACCCTCGTGCCTTTTACTTGTCCCTTTAAAGGGGTTCGCAAAACCCGTCACATTTCTCGGAACATCTCTGCCAGGGCACCAATGCATGAGACGCAGGACGGCTCTGAGAGATACAGGTTGAGGCAGCCTTTCACCGAGTAGCGCAACCTTGTCTCACAAACGATCTACCCCTCCGAAGCCTCACATGGACTCTGGATTTCTTGGTGCCGGGCTCGGGGGAGGTCAAATCTATGCCGGAGCGGTTCAGCATCTCACAGACCTGTGGGACCACTTTGGAGCGGCTTGGAAGCAGGCTTGCAATGCAGAACTCAGCCTCCCCAAGCAGCTGGAACTCAGCACACAGTGTCCTGGCGCGAACCCCTTGCGGGCCCTCCGAATCCCTTGACGTGTCCTGTCCACCCATTTGCTAATTGGCAGGGGAATCGCCTAGGTCATAGGGCGAAGCATCTGCTTCTCATCCTTTTTCCACTTTTGCGTGCATTGCAAAGGCTTGCTGGTGCTTTGCCGGCGTGCCTTCTTGAGCTGAATTGGAAGACTCATATACCCACTTGTCAAATCACAGCTCAGGATGAAGCTGGAGAAGGATATCATGAAGCTATGGCAGCAAATACGTTTCAACATGTCAAGCAGCCCTGAGACTTGATGCCTCGATTCCCCAACGTCTCAGAGTACTCGCTCGCCTTCTCCACCCCTTGACGCCTTGGCAGGGCCACCAATTGCCAAAGGCTCGTGCCAATTGAGCCACAATGAAACCCAACATAGGCCCAAAACCTGCTGGAAAGAACTCAGAGGGCAAATCTGAGATCTCCGCACCTATGTTGGGACTGTCCCATCCCCGGCTCAGCTCCCTCTAGCTGCTGGACTCTGCTTTTTCCTCTCGCAGTGCAAGCAGTGCAAAGAGTGCGAGGAGTGCAAGGAGTGCAAACTCTGAAGGCGGCGGAGGTGGTCTGGGATTCCAAATGCCCCGACTCCAATCGAGAGCCGAAACATCTATCAGACAATATCAGAATAACCTGTACGGCTAGAAATGAGTATCATTAACACCACAATATGGCGTACAAGCCAGAGCCAACTCATCTTGGTTTCGCATCCAGCAGCATTAAGCTCAGTCGCACGTGTGAGGTGCTGGCATGAGTCAAGCCACGCATCTTTGATGCCCACCTGAAGTCTTGAAGTGTGTCGTGTCTGTGACACATCGAGGCTTGTCTCCGTCTCTCCGTCTCTCCGTCCTTGACAAGAAGCTAAGGTCCAGTGGCTGACAGTTCCAATGCTTGCAACATTGCTTTGGGAGCAGCCGTTGAAGCTCGATTTGTAGCAAACAAATCTCGCCAAATTCAAATCAGCCACTGGTGCTTCATATGTGAGTGAACTAACACGTTGGAAAGAATGCGGCTGCTTTGGTAGGCAACATTGTGCCTCACAAAGTTCTATTCGGCAAAACATTGCCGTGGGCCAATCTGGCCATCCTCACTCATAGGCTGTCGTATGGGAATGGTCCTGGCAAACCGTTGCTCATGCCACTATTCTGCTTGCAAGCAATCCGCAACCAATTCTGGAGTTGCCTATGCAGTGTCTGAACCCCTTCATTCGTCTCTTTCTATCTTCTTCATTTGTGCCTTTTCCATCTTCCAAGAGGAAATCCAAGGCGCCTTCTGACCAACTGGAGCGCCGGCGAAGTAGTATACGTCCTCAATCCAATACACCGTTGCGGGCCCTCTCCAACATATTGCACCCAGCAAAGCAGTGCCCATTCTCGGTGGAACCCCGATTGATGTTGCACAGATACTTAGAAACTGGATGGGGCCAATATCATCACCTGTGCGTTCGGTAGCTCCTTGATTACCTATTGCAAGCAACTAGCGCCCACGTTTCAGATGACAGTGGAAGGGATTTGGCCGCGATTGCTGGAGCTGGCCGGTATGGGAGAACGGGGCGGTGGACGGCGAGCACCCAGAGGTGCGAAACTCATTCATCTCGTTTCCAGAGCAAGGGTGGAACAAGGGCGGCTGACGCCATTTGGATCAGGGGTGTTTTCACTTTCTGCCAATTCAAGCTCTCAGATTGTCAGCATCAGCGGCTCCATGCAAATACGCACACACACACGAACACGCACAAACACAAACACACAAACACACAAACACACAAACACACAAACACGCAAACACACAAACACACAAACACACAAACACGCAAACACACAAACACACAAACACACAAACACACAAAACACAAACACACAAAACACAAACACACAAACACACAAACACACAAACACACAAACACACAAACACACAAACACACAAACACACAAACACACAAACACACAAACACACAAACACACAAACACACAAACACACAAACACACAACACAAACACAAACACACAAACACAAAACACAAACACAAACTACAAACACAAACACACACACACACACACACACAACACACACACACACACACACACACACACACACACACAACACACACACACACACACACACACAACACACACACACACACACACACACACACACACACACACACACACACACACACAAACACAAACACAAACACAAACACAAACACAAACACAAACACAAACACAAACACAAACACAAACACAAACACAAACACAACACAAACACAAACACAAACACAAACACAAACACAACACAAACACAAACACAAAACACACACAACACACACACACACACACACACACACACACACACACCACACGCACGCACGCACGCACGCACGCACGCACGCACGCACACGCACAGACACACAGACACACAGACACACACACACACACACTGATGCCATGAGGCCTGTTATTCCGTGAGCCGCTTAAGGCGGGACTTTGGACCTTCACAAGACGAGCGCCATGAGGGCGCCGAGCATGAACACGAAAGAGTCCAGGGTTCCTTGAAGTCGTAATCAAATTGGAGAATAGGGTGGAGTTTCGTCAGCTTACCTTCCCGATCTGTTCGCTCGCCGCGGCTACTCGTCAGTGCCCATGACTACCGCGACGAGGTACTAAGAAAGGGGCCGGTTTGCTGGCATGGGCAGACTCCATGAAGTAGAAAACAGAAATAGTTCACTGCCGAAACAGACCCTTTCCGGACGTCAGGGTTTACACACACACGCCCCCTCTCGGGGGCCAAAAAGCCACAATTCTCGGGGGCCGCAAGGGACAGTTCGCAGCAGGCTCGCTTTTTGTACCAACCGCGGAAAGAAAGAGCTGAAAAACACTAGGAAAGTCCACAAAAAGGTTCATTATGGTCGTTGAGGACAAGGTGAAGCGAGACCGTGAACAAGGCCTGGATTGCGCCGAAGGGGAGGATGTTGTCCCTAGCTGGTGAAGTTGATCGACCTGCTGCTTCTCGGACATCAGGAAACCGCTGGAAAACGAAGGTCCCCGGCTGGAAAACATGCAAAACGTGCAAAACGGAGAAGGGAAAGTCACCGTCGAGGAAAAGGTGTTCGTGACGTCGGAGTGCCTGGTGTGTGAAGGGCCAAGCCATGGCGTCCGTGAAGAGGGCAGGTGGCGAGACCCGGTTGAGCAAAATGAAAGAAGGCAGTGTGTTGAGTAGTTGCATCAAACGGCGCAACAGGAACGAACCAAAAGCACCAAAAGCAAAAGGCAAAAGGGGGCACTTGTTTTGCGTACATGAAATCGGTATTCGAGTTTCCGGGTCTCACTTAGGAGAAGCTCACGCGGAAGGCCGGCTCGCAAGTGCTGTGCCTGGAGCTGCTGGATGGTGTCCTGGATGGCGCTGCGGGGTCTTGTGAAGCGAAATGCTAAAATGGCACGTGCCCGGAATCCTGACAAAACCGCTGCTGAAGAGCAGGCCGAGCTAGTAGAGCGAAAACTGTCCGTCTCGGTGGGAACCTTCATGAAGATGGAATGATTGGAGTCGTTGATGCGGAAGCCCGTCACGTCCTCGGAGTCCACGTGATCAAGCAGGAGGGGTGGTTGATAGAAGAAGGGGTGGAAAAAGAAACGCCATGGCCAATGTAACTCGTCGCCTGCGATGCGGTGCACGAAGCGGTTGTCAACGTAGGGCAAAGACGACTGAAACTTGAGGTTGTCGGATGCAGCAGTGTTCGTAGAAAGAGCCAGGCGCACCAACTCTGGCACGTGGGGAGAGGTGGAAGACGCGTCCTTGGAACACACGAGAAAGTCGATGTTTCTGCTGCACCTGGACGCTGAAGTGGTAGTCCACGGGGAGGCGTTGTTGCTGAGTGAATCTCTGTGGGAGACGTTCAATACAAAAATTGATGCGGTCGTGCTCCACGGAGTTGAAGAAGCCGTTGATGTCCTGCTGCCGAAACTGCAACCCCCACACATGAGGTGCTTTGGTGAGGTTGGAGTGGAGCGTCTTCAGGATGAGCTTCGTGTCCGTGGTGACCAGGTGGGCCGGCAGAGTGTGGCGCATGATCTCAAAAATTGCGAGGGCCAGGGTCGAAGAAAAAGGAGTGCACCAGGTGTCGCTGTAGCTGACGATGGGTCGAGCAGCTTGCCATAACTTGGACTCCTTTGGAGGATATAGGCGTAGGGGACGGTGCGTTTCCAGTTGAACGCTTCAGTTCAGACAGTAGCTCATCAAGGCGCTGAGGGTGGCAAACGGAGAAAACGGTGCCGTTGGCGAAGGTGCGGTCGAGCAGCGTGAAGTAGTGGGGACCAAGTTGTCTGACTTCTTGGCTGGAACGCGCTGTAGTGGATGCCAAGTGGTTGCTGCGTAAGTGCCACTGGTCGGCCAGGAAAGATGCTCATTGGTCGCGGTTGTGATCAGGTAGCTTGTAGCATGGTGTCTGGTGGGCCAGGCCGTGTCGCCCATGTGGGCTTTCCAGAGTGAGCAGGTGGGTTGTAGGACGGAGGCCTGCCCAAAGACGTGGGAGTGGTGTGGAATAATGTGTGGTAGAGGCAAAGGTAAATCTGCGCATGCGCACAAGGCGAGTGGAGCCTGGCTGCCATTGTGCAATGCTTGTAGTTGTAGACCAAGGAGCCCAGACGTGGGTTGTGGATCTCCACGATTGAAGGGGTGGGTTGAAGGAAAGGTGGGAAATTGTGTCGGTTCTGCTGTATGAAGGTAGAAAGCCATTGCTTAGTTAAACGTACAAAATCATGGGCTAGTTGTGGTAGACGGAGAGGCCGAGGCGCCGGTGCTGGAGTGAGTCCCCGGAACTTCAGGACAAGCTTGTTGCCAGGCCCGGTTCGTTGACGCTGTTGAGGAGTCGCTGAAGGAAATAGAGGTACTGGTTGCCTGTCTGATGGGAACGGAGTGGACGAGGGGCGTGGAATTTCTGGACGCCTTTGCTGCACAGTCGATGTAGTAGCTCAAAATGTGGTTCCTCAACCTGTGACTGGAAGAGGAACACAAAAATCACTGCGACGTAGTCGATGTAGGCGACGAAGCATCC